AAGGGAGAGGGTTGACATGTTGTGGGGTTGTTAACCAATGTCATAAAACAATATGTGTACTACTGTTTCACGAGAAACTATTTGTTTTGTAAGCCTTCACCTGAAGTACAATAAAAACAAAAAAATAAAAAAATCTGCAACTGATCACAAGGATGACAGAACCTGGGAGCGTTTCATTCAGTTGTGCACGGGGTCATCATGAGTCAGCAGCCAACTTGACAGCAGCTAACAACAAAAACATACTTGGATCACATTATAGTATTAATTTCCTTTTCCCTAAGCACTTTTTAGTATATTTATGGCCATTTAAGTGTTTTACCCACTTTTCTATTGGGTTGTCTGCCTTTTCAATTAATCTCATAGAATATGAATCTAATTATAAATTCTTAGTCAGAAAGATAGATGACAAATATATTCTCTGACTCTGTTGTTTACCTTTTTATTCCCTTGATGTTGTCTTTTGATGAATAGAAATTCACTTGGATTCTTCGAATTTATGGAGTCCTGAAATTTGTTCAAATTATGTTTTCCAAAGTTTAAGGATTTAAGATAAAAAAAAATTAATAAGAATCAAGTCAATTAATTACATGAAACATTTCACTTAAATATTGTGACTTTTGCAGTTTCAAAGGTATCTTGGAAAGAGCTATAAAAATTTTAATTTTAAATTCTTTAAATTATGAAAATGATTTGAAGAATAATTTATGCCTCTAATAGATTACCTAGTGTCTTAGTCATCTAGCGCTACTTTAACAGAAATACCACAAGTGGATGGTTTTAATGAAGAGAAGTTTATTTTCTCACAGTTAAAGTAGGCTAAAAGTCCAAATGCAGGGTGTCAGCTCCAGGGGAAGGCTTTTTCTCTCTGTCAGCCTTCTTCTCTTCAGTGTTCCCCCGCACTAGGAGCTTCTCTGTGCAGGGACCCGGGTCCAAAGGACGCGCTTTCTTGATGGTATGAGGTACCCCTGTCTCTCTGCTCACTTCTCTCTTTTATATCTCAAGACATTGCCTCAGGACACAATCCAATCTTGCAGACTGAGTCCTGCCTTACTAACACAACTGCCACCCATCCTCCCTCATTAACATCATAGAGGCAGGATTTACAAAATATAGGAAAATCACACAATACCAGGAATAATGGCCCAGCCAAACTGATATGGGGGGACATAATTCAATCCATGACACCTCGGAAGCAGTTTTATAATATATATTTTAGTTCAGTTAGAGCATCAAATGATACATATTACATTATTTCCCTATAGCCACAAAAAAAAAAAGCAGGCAAGTGAATTCTGGTTGTTAAATATTCTTCATGACACTCCTGAATGAATACCTTCAGAACTATTTACTTCACCTGTTAGGTACAAGGATACAACCATCCTAAGATCAACTGTTACACTATTCTGGACTTGGGGGTTCCTAAGGTCTCAAGTGGTGTCAATTCAAACTCCAAGTACTAGGAATGGCAGGCCTATAGTTATACCTTCCCAGAAGAAACTTTCTTTGTTTT